TCCCATATAAAGTGGAGGAAGATGGGCGTGGATGTTAGCCCAGGGCCAGTCTTCCTCAGCAAAAAGAGGAGGATTGGCAGATGTTAGCTCAGGGCTGATCTTCCTCACAAAAAAAAAAGAAAGAAAGAAAGAAAGAAAATAGAGAGGGAAGGGGCAAGGGAAGTGCAATTGAGGAATTGTACTTTAGGTTGAAATTTTAAAATAGGGTGGTTAGGGCATTTCTTGGGTGATATTGCACCAAGATTAGAAGGAAGTGAGAGAGCAAGTCATACCAGTGTCTGTGGGAAGAATATTCCAGTGAGTGAGAATACCAAGCGCAAAGGCCCTGAGGCAGAAGCATGCCTGGAGTGTTTGTGCGATTGTAGGGAGGCCAGAGTGACGCTGGGGAGGTAATAAAGCCACAGGGCTTTGCAGGACACTGTAAGTTCTTTGGCTTTTACTCTTGGCAGAGAAATTACAGGATCTAAACTGACATTTTAACACTCTTTCTGAGTGTTGTGTTGAGAAGAGATGAAAGGGGCAAAAGTGGGAGAACCACCAATGTAGAGTAGATGAGAGATGATGGTAGGTTGGATCAGGGTGAGAGCAGAGGAGGTGATGAGAAGCAGACAGATTCTGGATAGATTTTGAAGGTGAAACCAGCAGGACTTACTGACACTGGATGTGGTGGGCGAGAGAAAGAAAGAAGTCAAAGATGACTCCAAGGGTTTGGGCTAGGAAGGCTGCAGGCAGAGTAAGGCTTTTCTTGGGTGGGTGGGAGGGAGTGAAGAGGGGTAGGAAAGATGTTGAGAAGGCAGGTACAGGGACCGGGCCCGTAGCTTAGCGGGTAAGTGCGCGTGCTCCGCTACTGGCAGCCCAGGTTCGGATCCCTGGCGCACACCGACGCACCACTTCTCCCGCCATGCTGAGGCGCATCCCACACACAGCAACTAGAAGGATGTGCAACTATGACATACAACTATCTACTGGGGTTCTGGGGAGAAAAAGGGGAAAAAAAAGAGGAGGATTGGCAATAGATGTTAGCTTAGGGCCAGTCATCCTCAGCAAAAAGAGGAGGATTGGCATGGATGTTAGCTCAGGGCTGATCTTCCTCACAAAAAAAAAAAAAAGAAGGCAGGTGCACATAGTGGAGTATAGAGTTCTGGGGGAAAGTCTAAATGGAGACATAAATTTAACAATCATCAATATAGAGTTGATATTTAAGACCACGATAATGGATGAAATTATCAGAATTGAGTGTAGATGGAAAAGGAAAGGATTCAAAGATTAAGCTTTGCAAGACTCCAACGCAAAGAGATTGGAAAGATGAGGAGGAACCAGCAAAAGAAACCAGGAAAGAACATCCAATGAGGTAGAAACAAAGCTGGAAGAGTGTGGTGTCATGGGAGCCAAATGGAGAAAGTGTTTCAAGGAGAGAGTGATCAACCATGTCAAATGCTGTGATCAGACAAATGAGACTAGAAGTGGCCATTAGATTTAGCCTCTTTTCAACAAGAGAGGTTGTGGTGCAGTGGGTAGGGTAAGAATCTGATTGGAATAAGCTTAAGAAACAGTGAGAAGAGAGGCATTGGGATCAGGAGTTAAAGTCAACTCTTTCAGGGAGTCTTGCCATAAAGGGGAGCAGAGAATTAGCCATAGCAAGAAGCAAAAGCAGGATCAAAAGATTTTTGCCCCATAATGAGATATCACCTCACACCCATTAGGATGGCTACTATCAAAAAAATCAAAAAGAAAGAAAGAAAATAACAAGTGTTGAGGAGAATGTGGAGAAATTGGAACACTTGTACACTGCTGGTGGGAATAGAAAATGGTGCAGCCATTATGGAAAACATTATGGACGTTCCTCAAAATACTAAAAATAGAATTATCCAGCAATTCCACTTCTGGGTATATATCCAAAAGAATTGAGAGCAGGGTCTCCAAGAGATATTTGTACACTCATGTTCACAGCAGCGTTATTCATAACAGTCATTGTGGAAGCAACCACAAATGTCCATCAACAGATGAATAGATAAACAAAATGTCGTGTATACATACAAGAAAATATTATTCATCCTTAAAATAAGGAAGGAAATTCTGACACATGATACAACATGGATGAAACTTAAGGACATTATGCTAAGTGAAATAAACCAGTCACAGGTAGACGAACACTGTACAATTCCACTTATATGAGGTACCTAGAGTAGCCAAATTCATAGAAACAGTAGAATGGTGGTTGCCAGGGGTTGTGGGTAGGGGAGAATGGATAGTTATAATTCAACGAGTATAGAGTTGCGGTTTTGCAAGGTGAAAAAGTACAGGAGATCGAAGCACAATAAGGTGAATATATTTAACACTACTGAACGGTACACTTAGAAATGGTTGATGGTAAATTTTATGTTATGTATTTTTCACCACAATTAAAAAAAATTTTTAGGATTTTTTCCGTTTTTTTTTTTTTTTTGAGATGGGAGAAATAACGGCATTTTAATGCTGATGGAAATAATCTAGTAGAGGCAAAAACTGGTGATACAAGGCAGTGAGTGGAGAACTGCTGTCCTCAGGACTTTGAGTAGGTAAGAGGGGATGAGATTTAGTGAATAAAGGAGGCTAGTGCCTTAGAGAGAAATGCAGACCTTTCATCTACTGCATTAGGAAGGAAGGCGGACTATAAGAGTCTGGATGCTGGGGTGGGTGGATGTGGGGGTGGCAGCTTACAGGTCTCTTCTGATGATGTCTACTTTCTCAGTGATGCAGGAAGCTGAGTGTGTGGATGGAGGAGGAGGGCGTGTTAATGAACTGTGAGGGTGGGAGAAGTGGGGGAATGGAGTGTGGCTGCTGAGCCACATTGAGAGCACAGTGAGATGTGTGGAAATGAATTTAAAATGAGACGAGTCGAAAGTGAGCACATTGGCTGCACAGGGCTATATGGGTGCAGAATCTGGGGCTCTTGAGAGAGATCCTGTATTAATTAATCAGAAGCTACAATTAACAATAGAGATTTCACCTTATTCTGAGTTTAGCATTTGAAAAATTAAAGAGCCCATCACGTAGCAATACACTGCTAAATATTATAAAAATAATTTAAAGGAAATCTTAGTGGTGAGGAGTAGATCAGAAACCTGCTGTGACTGTCACCATGACTTTGGTATGGTTCCCTCATCTGCCAAGTGTGACGAGGGCAGTGTCCTGCCCTGTTCTCCCAGATCATGCACAAGGGTCCCCCTGATGGTCTTTCTAGGAATGATATGCTGCTCTGCACAGCTTGTGATGGAGAGGCTGGTAGTCACCATCCCTCAGGACTCTGGGCATCAGGCTGTGAGAGAGCCTTGGCTGAATCCTCCTTTACAGGTTTAAAGCCCTCTGACTCCCAACATACAGACAACAACGTTGGTGGGGAAAAAAAACAGAATTGGCAAGTTGTCATT